TTATCGCTTCATTCACATTTGTAAATCCATACCCGTACGAAAAGTGTTATGCAAATATACTTGTACGTGTTGTATGTATGTATGTGTATATATATGCGTGTTCATATGATTGCATACATATGTGTTTTCATTCCTATATCATCAAGAACGTGTTTATGTATGATTTGTTACAGTGCCTGTATTTATATGTGTATTATTTACGTAAAAAAAAAAAAGAAGAAATTTCGTAACAGCAGTCGCCTCACATCAGCACGCACACCAAATATTGGAGAAGTTCGACCCAACACTTAGCGAACGTGTAAGCGCCGAATATTCATCTATCTAAGAAATATTTTTTGAAGTGAAACTTTTTTAGCGGCGTTATTCCCAAAAAGTCTTAAAAAACACTTTTTGAAAGTTTGCAAGCGAAAGTGTAATTTCACTTTTTCAATTCGACCACTAAATAAACTTTTTGAAAAGTACTTGTATTGTCACCTCTGACTGCACTCTACAATTTGTTGACGGGTTTCAGGATGCATGTGCAATGTCTAAATAATTAGCTACCGCATATCCTTTTATACACTTCACTCACTAATGAGTTATCATTATTCAAGCCATCCAGCCGAGTTTTGTTGTTGAAAATTGAGCTTAAGATTTGAAAACAGACTTCCGAACAGTTAGGATGCACATTCCCTACAGTTTATTCACAAATAAACCTCCTTCTTTTATTAGCAGCAAGCTAACTCTGTGGTTCTACAAATCCAACCTTTGCTATGGAATATTTTTTGATCCTTTCGACCTCTTGACACTGCAAATTCTACGGTTTCAGAAGCGTGCACACTAATTGACAGTGATGTCCTCAAACGTAATATCTAGCATCCTTTAGGATTCAAGTGCTGAGTTGAGAATGTCATAAGTTTCCCCAAAATAGAAAAAAAAAATAAAGTTGTAAAAAAATGGGTCAACGTATGGCTTAAATGAGTGCCAGATAGCTAAGCGTGAAGGAGGAAATAAAAAAACACCACTACACGTGACTATCGAAAGCTATGGTTGACAACAGTAAATCTTATGAAAAATGGTCATGTCAATGTCCGGTATGTCATGCAGATGACGAAGAAAACTTAAAAAACGAACAAAAGGTCAAAATAGCGACGCCGGAAAGGAAAAGGCAAGCCAAGAATGAAAACACAACTAGGAAGTAAATACATGCATACGCACGTATATATGTATTTGTAAACATGTACCCTGCCAAAAGCGAGACTAGATTAAATACTAGTNTCTTTAAAATACCTTCTACATCACACCCATATTATGATGTTTTAATTAATTTGTAACTAATTTCGAATAGGTGGCCACCTTATACGAGTCTTCTCGGAGATAAAGCCTTTCAGGTAACCCTAAAATCCTTAACATTATCTGTTTCCGAGAAACCTATGGATATATGTATATATATACAAGAATTGCTCGTTAAATGTAATAAGATTTTCTTGAAATTCGCTTTACTAGTATTCATATTCGGCATCGAAGTCAAATTGCCGATGAACCGAGAGAATTGCCAAGGAAGAGATGGTGTTCAATCCAAATATGAATTTTTTTACGTTTGATGTGGTCCAGATGAGCATTACAAGTTTGTAGTTAACCTTTTTCAAATACAAACTATGTTCCTGTAGACCACCTGGTTATTGAATTTTTTCAGGGAAACCCCGAAATAGTGAACCAAATTTCTAGTTCAGTACTAGATCCTTATCGCTCAAAACTAAGTCACTAGATCCACACCAGTACAAAAGCAGCGAAATGAAGTCCTTTTACAAAACCATTTTATTTTAGCTTAAAAAACATACATACATATGAGGCCATGAGGGCCTGTGGAGCCTATCTACAAAAAAAAACAAAATTAGTAGTATGAGAAAAAGGATCTATAAAAAATGCGGCATTTTACTAAAAAGTTCATAGCGCCTACCTGATGCTACATATTACAGTAAAAGAAAACTAAATATGCGTGCTCCGGGTTTTTACCATTTCGATTCTATTTAGTGATGCATTTTAAGGTGCACCTCAACTTTTTTGAAATGTCAGTTAGGTTACTCTGGCCCTCAAGGCCACTTTTGTTCTGCTTTTCATAGTTTAGAAACACATTTTATTATTTGGGTCTGACGGCATTCGAGCCTGAGACATTTTGTTATAACATCGAGCACCTCTGCACACTCAGCTTCAATCAAAGGTATCAAATACTCAGTTTGAATTACATATATTTCGCACAACTATTTAAACAAATTCGATTTCACACACAGACACATTCCTTTGAAAATATTTTAAAATCACTACCATGCACGGTCATGAGAAACCAAAAAGAATATTTTTCAAAAAATCATGTTAACTATTTTTTCGTCTGCTGATTTTAAACTGGTTCAGAACTATAGAAAAAAGAGATGTAGAATAAACTAGAACCAATCTGTTTTTTTTTAGCACTGATTCGGAACCATCGAGAAATGATTATAAATTCTCTAGCAGTTATCGAACAAGTCCGGCTCTGGTGTGTTTCCCCACAGGGTACATAGTAGATATATGTCTATAGGTGTGCATATGCGCCACAAAAAAAAAAAAATACCATTCACATTTACACTCTCTGAATCAGCTGAGGTCGCAAAGTTCGTGAGTTGAAGTATTAGCTCAGCACTGTTAGCGAAATAGAAAAAAAATCGTGTAGCTGCTGAAGCAACCAAGCGAACAAGGGCGAAAAAGGTTTGAAGGTAGAAGCAAATACATAATAATAAGCCAGAATTGTCAAGAGGCTTGAAATTCGTGCAAACGTATGTATGTATATACTACATACATGTATACTTGAAAGTGGCAGAGTAGGTTGCAAAACTTACATCATCATGGCAATCATAAGGTTGATGGGGTAAAAGCAAAAAGAAAAACCATTGTTAGGCAATTTTTTTTTGTACAGAGAAAAAAACGCAGTACACTTCTCTCATACATACACGTAAGTTTACCAAAAAATTCATTGTTGTGGCAGTTGCCTTCACAATAGGCTGTCTACCTTCATCATAGTCAATAAAAAGCTATCAGATAGACGACACATACAGCAGTGAGACCCCAAGCAGCATGCCCAAGCAAAAGTTGAAAGTTGGCGTTAGGCGCACAACTGAATATGGAGGCCGATTGGCTAGCGGAAGAGCGACTGGCGGTAACTGGCAAGCAGCTATCTAAACATTTCATTGCCAATCTACGCTAACAATCACAGCGAACAAGCAACGCAACTCGAAAAATTAAAAGAGAAAAAATCAGGCGACCTTCTTTACCTTGTCGCGAGACCACCACCGCCTCCAAGTGCCACAGCGGATATCCGGTAAACTTTAAAGTGCATGTACTTTTGCAAAGTTGTTCTTCCCGTTTCGAAGCAACATGCTGTGACAGCTAACCAAAAAATTAAGCAAAGCGAAGCGATGTTGACAGCGTGAAAATTTGTAGTAAATATGTATATGTAGTTGCCTAGAAGATGGAAGTATGAATAGCTTGGTAGTAGAAAAAAAAACAACTAATGGTACCACAAACGTTTAACGTGTGATTAAGAGCCATGTTTAAGTTTAGTGTTTAATTAGCAATTTAAAGCTCCCGCCGGAGGAATAGCCTCAAAAGCTGAGAGATCTCTTGATAATAAGTAATTAGGGTTCATCGATATAGCGAGGTACCTCTGTCAAGATAGCACCCTGGATAGACAAGTTCTGGGGTGGACTCAATCACCAACTATTCACACCGTTGTGAGCTCGGAACTATGTGGTATTTTGACTTGGAAGACAGTGAAAAAGTCACGCCGCATAGGGTACACTCTTCGTTCCTGTGAGCTGAAGCAATGCGCTCATTATTGTAGCTAAGCAATTGAGAATCAATTTTTTAAATACGTATATAGGCTATGTTGCTGCAGTTATTCATTGTATTTTACATACATAAAATTTTTACGATTATTTAAAAAAATGCAATGTCATGTCATGCCATGCCACGTTATGTCATTTGACGCAATATGATGTCATTCATGTAATCTCATCATTTCCTGAGATGTCGCGTCATGTGGTGAGTTCGGGTGTGACGAATTTGGGGTGAGTTAAGTCGAGGTGTGGAGAGTTTATATGTAGTGAACCTAGGTTAAGTACGTTTGGGTGTGGGGAGTTAAGATGTAGTGAATTTAGTTGCCGTTAGTTAAGATGGAAGGCGGTGAGTTTTGTGCGGTGAGTCAAGGTGTGGTGAACTAAGATTCGGCAATTCAGATGTGGTAAATATATGAGTGGTGAGTTCTCTATCTGTATCTCTATCCTGTTCTCTATAATTACTTAACCATTTATCTTTTTTTCCTTTACCTTTTTCATTACTTTCTTTCTTTACTATCATTTGTCATTTGCCCTTCCAAATCTTCTCAATATATCAAAAATAGTCACGAAGTAAATTCACTTTCGACGCTTTTGGAAAAAATGCTTTTTATCAAGAATCCTTGAGCTTAGCATGTCAAAATCATTATTACGAGAATTAAAATTTTTTAGGTCGGTGAAATTATACATTGAAGTAAATTAAAAAAAAAAAAAACTGTAAAAAGAGAGGTAGACGGACATGAACAGCAACTTATCAGCACAGATCTGTTGTATCTGGAACCCTAATAAGCAAAATACTAGCGGGGCTAAATCGCAAGATCTTTGTGAATATTTTACGTCAACTCTGCGCGAGATCATCATTACCTCAAATTATTATTACACTGACAAGCTATATGGTGCGTAACGCCTTTCTACTATTTCCTTATCTCATTATGTTCACGTTGGGCCAAAATAATTCGGTTGCCATCTCGTACTGTAGCGCTCGTCGTTGACGATGATGGCTTTACCAATGTTGCTTTTGAAAAGTACGGCCGCTGTAGCATGGCAACATCTTGGCAACTTGTCATGCTTTTGGGTATTAAATTTACCAACCATTATTTATCCCTTCTTAAATTACATTGTGCCTAGTACCAAACTATAATAAAAATGCATAAAGGAAACTATCTGCTCATTATCGCATGTAGACAGCAAACGGAAGCGAACAAGTAGGTTGAATTTATGGTAAAAGTATTCTTACTTCCCTCCTTGTAGTCACTGGTTAAAATTAATTTCATTTTCGTTTATTGCTTGAAGAAAATTTCAAAGCTCAATTTAAAAGTATTCGCGCCGCATGCAAAGCAGTCAACAGTAGACAATAAAAAAAAATAAAAAAAAAATAAAAACTACAAAAAAAAAACGAAGAGTAAAGTAACACTAAGAAATGCAATAAGTAGGTGAGCGAAGAATAAAAAGGTTGTTGAAATCAAGAAAACGCAACGAAAGCAGCAAGGACATGCATACAAAGGTGTGCCACCTTTTTGCCGAGACACTGGCTGATAGCTGAAACCAGAATACCCTAACAACAACAATAGTTCCACGCGAAAGCACATGCAACCCGCACTCGCAACTGTTTGCCAGTTAGTACATATCGGCAAGTTCTGGTGTTGCCACAACCATTACCAGCCATACTTGACAATTCATTACATTGTTTGTGTTGCAATCAACGAAACTTGTGTTGCTGCAATTGCTATTGCTTTGATGTAGCGCGCTTATTCTTGTTGCTTTGTTTGGCTTTCAGTGTGTGAGTGTGTGTGTGTGCTTTTTTGGCTTACATTGCCAGCAATTGTGGAAAAATTGCATTCGCACGCGATCACCATGCGATATCCTATCGTTTGACATTTTTCCGGTGCACGTGCCACATTATGTGGGCGCCACAGCGTACAACCAGAGTTCATGATAAAACTTAGTATGCATGTGGGCGAGGGCGCGCACGCTGGCAATAAGCGCAATTTGTTGTTTGCCTTGAGAAATGCCTGACGAAATTTCTTACATATTTTAGCTTACTTTTTATTCTTATTTTTTTACCTATTGTTTTTTTTTTTGTTGCTTTTTTACTCCCACACTGCAACTTTGCCTGCTGCAAGTGCCAACAACATGATTTTTTTTTTTTGCATTTAGAAATCTATTTTCTTATTTTCTTTTGGCTATTCTGTGCTATACTTTTGGGAAATATGCAATTGTTGTCGACAATTTTTGGTCAACAGGTTTGTTATTTACTGTTGCACGTTACTGGCCTCTGAAGTTGACGTAGAAAATTTGTTTTTGCTACTCCTGCTGCTGCTGCTGCTGTTGCTTTAGCCCACATTTTGTGGCGATTGTGTGCATTTCCGATGCAGCCACAAGCAACACCTACAAGCATTGCATCTATGTATCACTTGTAACTAACTCAAGTTCACCTGTGCACAGTTCTACCCCTCGATTTTACTTCTTATAAGCGTCCTCTCCATTCACTGATTTGGCCTTGCCTTTGCAAATATTTCCTTGGTGATTTTCTTTGGCTAGCATATTTTTACNGTGCACAGTTCTACCCCTCGATTTTACTTCTTATAAGCGTCCTCTCCATTTACTGATTTGGCCTTGCCTTTGCAAATATTTCCTTGGTGATTTTCTTTGGCTAGCATATTTTTAGGTTTTTTTTTTCATGGGCTTAATATTGCTTTGCAGGTGTATGTTGTTGTTGCTTAGCTACCGGTGTCGGTTTGCTTTTTCCTGCCACTAATGGCCAACATTTACTACATTGGCTGTCGTTAGTAGCGCATTCAGTTCTTGTTGTTCAAATTGTGCTTATTGTTGCTTAACTGCTGTTGTTGGTTTTAAGTTTTTCCTTTTCATTTATTTTACGAGTTTATTGCTTGCACTAGTTTTTGCACTAGTTTGTCTTGTTTCACTCTCGTAATTTGACTTTCCATTTTTGACTTATTTTCAGTTTAAGTTTATACTTTGGATGTGCTTCTCGTTTTATGTGTGCCACATGCATGTAAATACTATGTAAATGTATGTTGGCCAGGCGGCCAGTGGTATGTTGAGTGCAGCTGGCTGCAATACGTCCTGTTGTGAATTGCATTTGTTGAAAGCGGAAATTACTTGAATTTTCGGCTAACAAGTTTGCATTTGATATGCACAAATGATTAGTTGCAACTTCATTGCGTCTTCCTGCCAACAATTTAGTTAGAAGTAAAAAAGAGGAAATGTAAGGAGATCGCATGGGATTTGAAATGGAAATCTGTAACTTTTGTGATATGGCCAATTAAGCAGCAAATAGTTGTCCGAAGAAGAAGCATATGTCAAAAGCTGAAACGGTATTGATGTTTCTCCATGTTGGAGTATACTATCTACACACCTCAACAGAGTGGCGTACCTAGAGGCGGATACGGCGGAGATGGAAGTAAATTGACAAATTCAACGGAAATTGTGCAACGGACATGGTTGGAGCTGAAACAAGTGCTTCTTGAGTATATGCACATGGTATGAATTTAACAAAAACTTGATATAGATAGAGACACAGTCTCAATATGGGAACTATTTTGAATTGTAGAGATTTTCGGGATATTCGGGACTTATCGACATTTTTATTGGTTTTGTTTTCGAAATTGTTATCAATGTTGCCACCGACTTTGCTATCGATTTTCTTGGGAATTGTCGATATAATAATGGATTTTGTTATCGACATTTTTATCGGTTTTGCTATCGCTTCTGTAATCGATATTTTTAAAGATTTTGTTATCGATATTTTTTATCGATATTGTTATTGGTTTTGTTATCGATTTTTTTGTCAATCTTTTTATCGATATTCTTGTTTTTAGAAATTTTGTATCGAATATGTAATCGATTTTTGTTTTAGATATTTTTATTGATTTTGTTATCGATATTTTTATCAAGTTTGTTGTCGATATTTTTGTTGATTTTGTTATCGATATTTTTATTGGTTTTGTTATCGATATTTTGTGGGATGTTACTATCGATTTTGTTATCGATAGAGATAAAAATAAAAATGAAGACCAAGGAAAACAGAATAACATAATGTACATTATTACATTACATTTTGAGAATTGTCGAGTGCTCGTACACCGGACTGAGGGAGACCGCAGAGCTTTGAGATCTAATAGCGGACCGAACTGCGGCGACTTTTACCGCAATGTCAGCAGAAGATTTTTCTAGTGAACTCCGCCAGACAATGACCGCACATAACATGACTGGCTTTATTAGGATTTCATAAAGTCTGATCTCTTCTCCATGCTGATCTTACAGCGCTAGAAAAGCCACTGATGCCTTTTTTAGCTGCTCCTCAATAACTTCAATAATAACTGAATTGTCCCCTCGATACCTGAGTGAAAGATCGACCTATCACGGCAGCCAGTTGGACATCTCGCTGTCTCAGGAAACTTTCAAAGTACGCCGTATTTCAGAATTTTATTGAAAAACGCCCTATCTTAGCAGATTTTCAATGTATTTTCAGCTGAGCTAGGGCGTTTTTGAAGAGAATTCCGGGATAAGGCATTCTTCAACCAAATTTTGAGGTAGGGAGTTCTTGAAAAGTTCTCTGAGATAGAGCGTTTTCCAACTGGCTGCCGGGATAAATCGACTAGCCACTCAGGTGACGATATACAGCGTTTTTTTTTTTTAATATTGCCAGATTTTATTAAATTGGAATGCTGAAAGACATGAATTCACAAATTGGTCTGCTTAAAAGTTAAAAGGCGCAGTCATTGCAGTAAAAAGCCTTTTGTTTACTCTTTTTATAAAGCTGTCCCTCCAAATGATAAATATTTCACTACTGACCGTATCAAGAATACCTAGAAAAGAGCTAATTCTTCAGAAACTGCCAAAATCGCAATATGAAATTGTTGAAATAAACTCAAAAGTCTTAAAATTTCAAAACGATCAATCAATTTCAAAAAAAGTTGTCAAAAGTATATATTTGCCTTTTA